ATCCTTAGCAAGGTATGTTAGTCTCTTCCTGCAGAAGAAAAAGAAAAAATAAGGTAATAGAGGCATTTGGTTTTGAGGTATTGTATTTTGCTTATGTCATTACAAAATATATGAGGATCTTTGGAAAGATGGCAGAGGCAGCCTTGCTAGAGATGTCTGTTCAATCTACATGAAATCAACACAAACCAATAACTAGACAACTTTGCCTGACAGATGCCGGCTTGAAAACTGGGTAGACAGGAGAAAAGGAGAGAGAGAGAAAAGGTTCTTCATCTCATACAAAGATAAGCATTTAGTCTCTACTCTCAATACCCTTGGCCATATAAAAATGGTGGCTCATTCCCAATGATATTTCATATATACTGCCCTTTACTTCTAAAAGCAATATGAAATGTCCATGGTTTTTCTGTGGCATGTTTTATTCATCAAGGACAAGGTATAAAGCATGTAGAATGAAGAGATGAAGGAAACAGAATCAATAAAACAGTTGAGCTTAACTCATATAAGTGTGAAAAAGTAAGAAAGTTTGGAAAGGGAGAGTTCAAAAATATTCATGTATAAAAGTCAGAAGTTTTTTTTAAAGATCTGAGAAAATCACGAGGCATAAAATGAATTAGGGATTTAGAGTAGCCAAATTTCTAACCTCATTTAACTTCTTAAAAACCTGTTTCATGGATCATCTTCTGTTTTTTTTTTTTTAATTTATTTTTATGGTGTAATATTTAAGACAGTCTACATAAAGTAAAGTATGCATCATTTCCTACCTTTTTTTATCTGTACTCTGACCAAAGTTCACATTGTTAAGTAAGAAAATAAACGTTCTTATTCTATTGTGAAATGCCTTAATCATAATTAATGTATTTCAAGGACATTGTACACAGGGCTTGACCAGATCTACAGATGGCTCTTGCATAATGGGATCTGAAGGAGGCTCCAGAACTATCTCCCACACTGGCCTACTATGGTGTCAACACTCCCACCCACCTGGCCAGAAATCACACCATTGGATTCAGTTCATTCCTTTGCTTTATGTAATAAATGCATTTCCTACTATTAAAATCACTTGCTGTATGAATTGAGAGAAAGGTCCTAGAATCACTACTGTCCTGCCCACATTACCATATATTGTCAAATTCACTCACTATCTCACTATGAGACAAATTTCTCTATTCTTTAGAGTAGAAGACTCAATAAAAATTTAATGTAAGAGAATCACAGATTATTGGACCTTGAACCGAGTAAGATTTCAGAGTTGATTTATTAATTTCCTTAGACAGTGGCCTACCAAATGTTGATGGCAAAACTGAGAATCCAAGCAAGGTGTTTTCTATATCTGAGCTTACTAAACACTAATTATCATAAAGCCTTACATAGCAAAGGCAAACTGGCTTTGCAAAGATAATTTAGAGGGGGCTTTAGAAAGAACAAGTAGACCATGGGGCATGAAGCTAGGGGCCAGGATAGACACAATAGACCCAAATAAATTGTTATATACCACTCCAAGAGACAGTCTGAAGACTACTGCATAATTAAAATAAGAGCAAACTCTTGCACAGTCCATGTTGCTTTGAATGGGATGGTGATTTTAAGCCTAATGTTTTTATCTGAATTATCAATTCATTGCAATATGCATCAATTATTCTAACATTTCCATTATCAAATGCTTTTATTACCAACTTCCCACCATAAACTCTACATGAATTATTTTATTGCTAAATGTATTTTAATGAATAATAACCAATTACCTCAATCTTTGATCAGATTGATACTAAAATATTAGCAAGAAATTACCATAATGTTTATTAAATAATTAAAGGCAAATAAATATATAATAGTAATCTTTACCACAAATAAATATATAACAAATAAAGATTTCTTAAAATATTTTTAAATGGTGCAATTCTTATTATTACTTTCTAGGGACCTGAGGCATTCTATAGATTTGGAACTTTAAAATGGTGGGTCTCATTCTACATTATTAGATTCTGGTGGTAAGAAACTATGTTTATTCTTAAGGTATATTCTTTTTCCTTAGCTCATAAGAGAATAAAACCTTATTCTCCATTTGGCAGTAATGTGTTTTAAAATATAACATAAAGCTTGTTAAACAGGGAGTTAACACACAGGCCCTTTGAATGAAACTGTTTTTATCATACTACAGTACAGGAGGATGATAAAGCCTTTGTGAAACATACATTTTGCTTAAATTTACCTGTTTCAGTTCCTTCTTTGCATTTGTGAAAACTTACTTTTATGATTAGCTATCCTAACTTATTCCTGGTTTGTGACATTGGAATTGTATTTGTTACTGCACTGGAAATTATCTTCTAAACTTTACAATGAAAGTTAATCTCAAACACTTAGTAATAACTGCATGGTTTCATATAGGTTAAAATTCAAGGAAAATATTTGAGGTAATAATAATAATTAGGAACTAGCACAGCATCCAAAAAGGTATTTTAATGGAAAATCCAAATGAAAATCCAATACAAATCCTGATTAAAACCTAGCCAAGCAAAAAACTACAGATTACCTGGATTCCAGTTAAATGTGACAAATGAATACTTGACAGGTTTCAACTCCAATTCTATTTATGTCAGAATGATCCATTGATATTGAAGATGAAATTACCAGAATTTAAGCAATACAATTGTACTTTATGGCTAGATGATTAGTGTGAAAACATGGACCCAACAAAATTGTTACTCAAATGTCAACTGCTACATTTCGATCACCTAAAGGGTATCACTTCTCATTTTGGCATTACCTATAGATCAAGTTTAACATGAATCACAGCTAGTAGATGACAAATTGTCACATAAATCTGAATTTCAAGTGTTGGTCACATTTAATATCAGGAAAAATCCATTACATTATCATGGCCCTTGCTGTTGACAGGCCTAAAAAGTGGTTATAAAAAAAATTAAAAGTCTTTTTTGGAACTGTTTTTCAATATACTTTCTAGTTTATTAACAAGCTCACTGTTTAGTTTTCTGTGACATGTATGTTTCCTAAAAGGTAGCTGATATGTGTTTCAAATTATTCATCATTCTTTCTTATTTTAAGGGTGGTGAATCCCCATAAACTCATAAAACAGAAACTAACATTAAAAAATGACTATAATATCAGTGGTACAAAGTCCTTTTTTAATAAAGCTGATATAAAAAATTTAATTGTACATTCTGTTCTTTACAGTAAGAATAAGCACTTCTTAAAATAAATAAAATTATATGTTCTCATGAGAAGGTAATCTCAGATGTAGTAACACCCATAAATTAAATTAATCTTGCCTTTCTAGGTATGCTCTATTTATCTATCATCTATATTGTAATTACATATACTGTAATTACATATATGTAATGATATATAACATTAAAATTATGTGATTACATATATGTGATTATATGTAACATATATGTAACCACAGAATTTGTAGTTCAATTTCTTTTTCCAAATAATTTTAAACATACCTGCCTTAAATATATATTCATTAGCATTGCAATTCACCAAAATTGTATACCCATTTAATAAATTGCTAAAAAAGGTAATTCTTAAAACCCACACCAGACTCCCATCCACATAAGCACACACCACCATACACACAGATAAGCATGCCTTTATAGTCATAAGGCAAAATGCCATTTTAACTCTGGAGAATTAATAAAGAGGGACATCAATCATCATATCTTCTTACCAAGAACAATGTAGATAAATAATTATTTAGCATAATATAATTTAGCAACACTTTCCCTTGGGGTCATTTATGATATATCATATTCTAATGTTGAATTTTAATATTCATAGGAAAACTTCCAGAAGAAAATCAGTCCTTATTCTGCATTAATATGCTCTACTTGCATATATATCAGCACTAAATAAACTGGTATATAACAAAAAGTTAGTGTCTTATTTCACATGGGAGTTGAGATGATAAAAGACATAAATCCATTTCAAGTTTTACTAAGGATAAAACGTGTGTGATTCCTCTTCCTTTCTCTCTATATAACCATATCTTTCTTCATATTTGAAAGAATAATGAAGTTAGGATGAATTTTACCATTCCATTATTTGACACAAACTTATTCCTCAGGCATTTACTTCTGACTCAAAATCCAGAAAATAAATCACCAAATTGTCTCTGGGAATATAAACAAAAGTGAAAAGTTTTATAAGTTTTATTTGCAATCTAAATGTATAACTTAAAAAAAAGTGCATAAAAGGCCAATTTTGGTAATTATGAGAATCACCTCACAACAAGATAAAAATACAGAGTATTATGATTATTTTCCTTCCTTTCTCTCACATAAAAATGAAAAAAAAAAACCCTTATATTTAAATAAGAGGGAAATTCTAAGAGCATTTATTGTATACTATGGAGAACAAAGTAGTGCTGTTCTCCTTTGACTCTATTCAGTGATCAATGGAAAGGAGAGGTTTGAAAACGCTTTTCTAAACATCTAGGACAAGAAAAGGTAGGGCAAGGTGTGTTTCTTTCATTTCTTTTCACTAAGACTGGACAGTTGCAAGTGAAGAAATAGTTGCATGACAAAATGAATAGAAGAAAATAATCAGACAAGACCTTTCTTGGTTACTATTGTTTAGGAATTCTGTACTTATTTAGCTTTCTTCATGGTGAGCCCTGTTCTAATTTATTTCTAAGTGCATTTATTTCTAACAGGATGTTTTAAAATGATGGTGCAATTTGGGTGAATTTTATCTACAGAGTTATGTTCCTTTATTTGGCATTTCTGTATTTTAGCAAATATTTATCAGTTAAAGTACAATGGTTTTAGTGTCAGCTATTTTATTTCGGGTTTAGACTGACCTTCACAAGTCTACTTATTACAGCTCACTAGCGTGATTATGTGTGTGGATGTTGTGTTTGTCCCTACCATTTTCCATATGCTCTGCCTCACCAACACTGCCATCCGGCGTGGTCCTTTCATAGTTGTCCTCTGGGAGTGGAAGGGCACCCAGTCTTGGCCCTGATGAACTCTTACTGCTTGGTGTTTCTGACTCCTCCAGCCCGCTGTCATAGCAACTCTGCAGTGACCCTTGATGTGGGTCCTGAGGCTGACTCACAACAGAAAACGTCACTCTACGAAATGGCTGCAAAAGAAAAGATTCTGAATGTCACTACGATGTAAGATTGTAAATGATCTTATTTAAAAAATACATAAATTACATACATTAAGGTCTACTGGTAACTAATCCACCACAGAATGAATAGATATGTTGAAATCAATTTAGTTAACTACGTATTATCTAAGGCAATATCTAGAGCTTAGATTTTATTATGGAAAAAATGAAAATTCCCTTTCAGAAACAGAGATTTAAAAAAACAGCAATTTCACTAAAACATACATTTAAATCTGGTATGTTAGTTTCACATGTTCAGCTTTTTTCTATTCCATAGTCTTCACTTCAGATATGCTTTTCACAAATAGACTCTAAAAAAACAAGTTCAATGATTTGTGAAGACAATAAATATTGAACTAATCCATTGTAAGAAGACTCAATTTTTACATACTTTGTCTATATAATACAAAGTCATAAAATCAAATGGGTTGGCAGTTGACTTAAACTATTCAAAGTACAGCTGACAAACAGAAATTTAGACGCAGTGCTAGGAAATAGAAATATGTTTATTACATCAATCCTATAAAAATATTGTCTATTGACCTTGAAATTGTAAGTCATACTAAAACAATAGATAAAAGTTTCCCTAAAAAGTGAGTAGAAAATAAACTATAAAGTTTAATTGCATGTGCTTAACATTACTGTTTGTGATTTGTTCAAAAAAGTAAGATCATGTATAGTTTTTAATTTATATTTTAAAAATTTTATGAAACTTTATCCAATTGAACCCCACAATTTACTGTGTTACTGACAATGGCTGGACTGAAGATTTACTATGAAAGGTATTTGCAGATTATCTTAGATAACCACAAAATAAAATGGAAAAAAAAAAAGGCTCATTAACGGAACAAATGAATGCCATGTATTGACAGTGCTACACAAGAATCATAATGTGAAAAACATATAAAAAGTCCTGTAATGTCCATTTGAGATTATCCTTGGCAATAGTTGTATCCATAAAGCTGCTGCATGAATTTGAAAATGTCAGAAGTGTACATATTTTTAAACTTATAACTCAGACTGTTTCCTTTTACTACAAAGTATAAAATTAACGTTGCTAGAAAATAGTGAAAGGTTACAAAACCATTTTTGCACATTTATAACTTGAATGTTCATGATACAAAATACTAATCACCACCTGAACCAGTAGAATTTTAGAAATATTAAGGATTATTTGCATATGGTAGGTTATTAATGGGAAAGCTAAGAAGAGTTATAACATCTCCCCCTAATTTATAAAGTCACTTTGCTAAAGACAAACACATGCTTCCATAAAATTTCCCTTTATTTTGTCATAGACGGAAGATTAGCTGAAAATATTGTGAATTATTGGTATTGTTAACCCAGTAGCTCACTTTTCACAATTCTTATTTGATACGTACAATCTTTACAAAATCTCCTTTTTTATTCTAATTCAAAGTCAAATAGCTGAATCTTAATACAAAAAGAAAACATTTAATTCATGTTCTCTTCTTTGTAATGTTTCACTGAGTCAGAACTGTGACATTTATAAACAATTATAAATATTTTCAGTATGCATAGTATATGTTATGGATTTAAATTTACTGACAATAAATTTTCTAGAAATATTCTTATTTCACTGAGAATATCATATTTCTTTACAGTAATATAATTGTGATATTTTACCTCATATTTAAAAAAATCAAATTTGTATTGTCATTTTTACCTGTGTGTGCATATTTTCTTTTCTCTCAACCCTCGCCCACCCAACTCTTATGCTCAGCTGCCTGCAAACTATCTTAGACTGTTTAATGTTTTTGGTCTCACCTTGGAAATGAAACCACTGGCAGTTTCCTAAAACCACATTGCTCTACACATAGAAAATATTCAGTAAATACTTCTGAACAATAAACTTTTAATGACAATGTTGAATGTAGCCAAGACCTCCAAGGGTCAGGCAGACATATTATTATTTAAAAACAGAGCTATGGGTTTAAAAACAAACAAACGTATAAAAAGAGAAAAGAGGGTCAACTGCTGTTCTTAATTCTATTTTAATGACTTTCAAATCTTTTAGAATATTTTTATTGACAGAAGAAGAAAGTTTAAAATGAATACAGAAATACATATGATATACCAATAAATTCAGAAACAGAAAATAAGAAATGATGAGAAACGGTGTTTCATTTTGATATAAAAGTAGAAAAAGAAAGAGTGATATTTGGGTGAAGCAGATAATTTTGGAATCTGTGCTTACATGTTTATTCCACCAAAAGTAGATAAACTAGCAGAGAAATAGGTGACAGCTGTGTTTTTAATAAAAAATGTTACCAATAAAATAATGACTTTTCTGTAATGTATTATATAATGACTGCTATGAACCTATGCATTTTGTTTTCTTGACTTCCTACCCTATGTTGACTGTGAATATTTTAATCTCCCTAAATTATTTTAGAAGAATGTCATAATTTTAAAACATTTAGATCTACTTATATATTAGAAACTACTTAGATTCATCAATTCTTCCTTTCTTGTATAAAATGCTTTTGCATTAAAATAATATCTGAATGAATAAAAACATAACTCACAATAAATATTCAAAATAAAATGTATCACACAATGGATTATAATACGTCACACCTATCATTTTAATCCACATTTAAAATATTCCATTAGAATGCTATAGTAGGACATCAGCATTATATCACTAGCTCTTCAAATTCATTTTGATAATTTTGAATAGCAAATTTTTGTGGCCAAGTATTTAAGTTGGCAATGTGAACCAAATTAATATGAAAGCCTAAATTCTAAGATACCCCATTGATGCAAGAGTTCAGATTTAATTTCAATAGTATATCAGACATACAGAGTTAGATGAAATGAGAGAAAGAGAGACAGAAAGAGAAAGAGTGAGAGAGAGGCAGACAACTGGGTCTTGAAAAGATGGTTCAGTTTTACAGCAAAGGTTATGACACCATATTCATATTATTTGTATATTCCAGAAAGATTGACTAAAGCAGAAATGTAAAGCAGAGTGTCAACTCTTAGCAGAGATAATAAATTTGCATTATATATGTGACTGTCACTTTGTTAATTACTGATACTCCAAAGTAGAATAGTGTAAGTGATAATTCTTCAACCTAGATGTGCCTTAGTATCACTCAGAGAACTTGTAAAAAGCCAAATGCCAATATTTGGTCCCAACTTAAATCCAATCAATCAGCATTCAGGGCAGGATCAGAGATCTGGAGTGTGTAAAAATCTCCCCAGCTGATGAAAGCAGAAAGGAATGAGAAATCTTACTGTGAGGAAGAACACAGAGGTTCAATAAAGCAATGTGCTTCAGGAAGGTAGCTGGTTCTCAAACTGTATAAAATAGTTTCCAGGGAGAGTCAGTAGACTCCTGGTTCCATCTTCAGACTTAAAAGTACATCATAAAGACCTTTTGTAAATTGCAGTGTCTGAACTTTGTATTTTGTCTGGAGTGATAAATGATTTTGTGTCCTATAAATGTAAATTGGTCTATCAAATAGAAGAGAAAGCAAAAGAAAACAACAGAGCTTGAGGAAGCGTTAAGTTTGCCAGCTCTTTGAGACTGTGAAGACAAGTTAGAGACTTGAATAAGTATTGCAAGGTGGATAACTTAAAGAAAATTATTCCAAAAATTGTGGATGGGGTGTGTGAAAGAATTAAAACCAGTAAGTGAAAAATCAAAGAATTTCTTTAGGTAAGTCAATGATCTAAATAAAAGGCCAATAATGAAGACATTTTCTGACAGTTCCTTATAAAAGAGGAGGATGAAATGTTGAAGGCAAAAGATTATACTAGGAAAGAAAGTATAATAAAATATTTACCTAGCAAGAGGTAAGGCTGAGAGAAGGTGGTGGCAGTGAAAATGGACAGGAAGGCCATTATAAAGAAAGCTCATGTAGCTGATTGGATTGAGTCACTAATTCACTAGACCTGCATTTATTTTATGTCCATCATCTTCCAGGGTTTTCAGGATGGTCCAATAATGATTCTACACATTTAAGAAACTCAAAACCTTCTAAGTCTATAAAGGAACATAAAACATAATGTGATCAAGTTTCCAGTAAAATGGAGGCATAAGGAAGATGCTGTAACACTCAGAAATTTAGGGCAGGCACTGCAAAGGCAGTGGTATGTGCGTTGAGACCTCTAAAAGAAATTTGATAGATAATATATATTTGGGGGTTGATTATAAATTCCATATTGCTAGAAGCAAACAATTTTTTTTAAAAAGGTTAACGACGAAAAGCAGGTCACTTTCAAAACTCAGAAGTCAGGGAAGCAGAACATTTCCAGAAAGGCAATCTATGTGATCAAAAGCATCAGAAACATCAGGAAAGATGCTGACTACCACATGACCATTGGATTTATCCTTCAGAAGGCCACTGTGGCTATAGTGTCTCTAAACTCTGGGGAACCATTGTAGATTGGACCAAAAGAAGCAGAAGATTGACTTGTCAATAAATGGAGAAATAGAGAAAGTGGGAAAAGTACTTTATTTTTAAAAGGTACCTTCTTTAAAAGTGCTTATTACTCTTAAAAATATGACAAACGAGAGAAACACAGTCGAATTTAAAACAATGATTGATGTAAAGTTTTTGATTTATTTTTCTACGTTTTTTGTCTTTCTGCGTTGGCACTGAAGGTTGGCTTTAAGATTAATATTTGGAGATGTAAGCAAAAAGGCGTGCTCAACAACAGAAGGTGAGAGCAGAATGGAAGAGAGCAAAGAAAACAAGCTAACTAGAATTAAGAGGGAAATAACATCAAAATAATTACAAAAACAGTAGACTATTTTGAAGAATTTTATTAATGGGGGTGTGCGTACACATGTGTTTAACGGGAAAGAAACAGCACATAAAAAATAACAGAACAAGAAAAGAATTCTATTCCAAGAAACCTTATGTGACCTTGAGGACAAGTTAGCTGATCTTTGGTTCTTGTGCCTTAGGCTCAGAGTCTATTGAATGGAGATAATA